CAAGCAAGAAAAATGCAAAAACAAAACATTATGTTCAGTGGTAATCGGTTACTGTAATTAGGTAACCGGTTACCTATTGAAATAAAGCTTGGAACGTGAAATTGTGAAGGGTAATCAGTTACCCATATGTGGTAACCGGTTACCACTGAACCAAAAACAAAATATCAACTTTCAAAATCAGTTTTCAGGATCCAACAACTTATCCAATCAATCACATGAACATGTAATCAATTAAGCACGAAATTATCCTCAAGAATAAGTGATCAAACATCATGTAAACACAATCAAACATTGACATCACAAATTACAAAAATCCAAATCAATCAAATGGATCAAAATGTATCAAAAGCCATGGATCTACATTATGATTATTCAAATAAGTTCTAAATTGAATTAGATCTAGAATTACCAACCTTCAAAGCGGAGATGTGCTTTGGTAAGTGTTGATTCACTTGAAACTAGGTTTGGAATCATAATATGGTTTGGAATGTGGATTAGTATTTGGAATGGAAATTAGGAGTGGAATTAGGAATGAAGTGTTTGAAATTTGGAGGGAAATGGTGAAAATTGAAACATTTTAGATCCTTCCAATGATGATCATGTGAAATCAATGGTTGAAAATGATTGGAAAACTTCCAATGCTGAAAATTCAAATCTCTTGGCAAATTTCGCTTAGGGTAACCGATTACCCATATGTGGTAACTGGTTACCACATTCAAAATTTCCAAAAGTGGTACCAAATGGAGGGAGTCCTGTATAATCACCCGTTGCCACCTTTTTTAAGCTCTATTAAACCTCTGAAACTTACCCTTGGATATCATAACTGTGAGAATGCCCGAGATAGCCTGTATACCGTCTCCGGAACTGAAAATAAACTGCTGAATAAAATAAAATCGACCGCTCGATCGCTGGGAAAAATAAATGCCGGAGCCTCTAATGTTCGCTGTTTGAACTCTTGCAATGAAAGGGAACCCTGAGCCCAAGAAACACCTTGATCCCATGTCTCGAGAACTAAATTCTATGATATGCGGAAATGCAAAATGCAAGGAAATAAAATCCAGTAAACCAAGAAATGATGAGGCAAATTTTGGGGTGCTACAATATGATGTTAGTCGTTCTCAGCTCTATAAAACATTTGCAATTTTTTACTTTAACTGATCATTCAATAAAAACAACAGTTTTTGGTGCATATTTGTACTCTAAGTAAACAAAATAATAATTTTTGGTGTCTCTTTGTACTCTAAGTTAACAGTGGTATCATAGCAAGTTAACTTAGAGAAAAATCTGAGTGAAACACAATGAGATTTGAGAGAAAACATCTGTTGTAGATCAATGAAAACTTCCTCGTTTTGATGGTCATTAGGATCATTGGACCATGTTAATGGAGAATTTCTTGAGGGCCAAAGAGTATTGGAAAGTTGTTTACTCTAGATTTACAAAGCCTGCGAAGGGAGCAGTTCAAATAGATGCGCAAAAGGCAGAACTCTATGAATTGAAACTCAAGGATCTTAAAGCCAAGAAGTACTTACTTCAGGCTATAGATCGAGCAACTTTGGAGACGATTCTCAATAAAGAAACCTCCGAACAAATTTGGGACTCAATGAAGAAGAAATTTCAAGGGAATGCTAGGGTAAGACGAGTGCAACTTCAAGCCATGTGGAGTGAATTTGAGACTTTAAGCATTAAGTCAGATGAGTTTGTTACAAATTTATTTGGAAGAACAATGATCATTGCCAACAAAATGAGAATTTATAGAGACAAGATGGATGCAGTGACCATTTTGAGAAGAATCTTAGATCAATGACATCAAAGTTCAATTTTTGTTCTATTAAAGAATCCAAAGATATTGATTCACTCACAATTGATGAATTGAAAAGTTTCTTGTTGGTTCATGAGAATAAAATCAATAAACAAGACAAAGTAGCAAGCACTTAAAACCTCGACTGATTCAAATACCTCTAATTTTAGAGACAGGGGCAGAGGAAGAGGTCGAGGTGGTCACGGTAGAGGCGATAATGGTCATAGCAGCAACCATAATAACAATCTTGCCAACTAATAGAATTCAGACAACTCAGGAAGATGAAGATGTCGAGGTGGCTACCATGGAGGTAATCATTCAAACAATTATTGCCCAAAATCTAATGTTGAGTGCTATCAGTGTCATAAATATGGTCATTATCAAAATGAATGTAGAACTAACTTGAATGGGTAAAATGGAGAAATGACCAACTTTATAGAAAGATAAGAAGAAGAATCTCTCTTGATTGTGTGCAATGTGACCGAGGAAATTCTAGATAATCTGTGGTATTTGGATATGGGCTGTAACAATCACATGTGCGGTGATAAGATGATATTTTCAGATTTGGACGAGTCTTTTCTGAGTACTGTAAAGTTCGGGGACAACTCCAAAATTAATGTTGCTGGAAGGGACAATATTATTTTTAAGGCCAAGGAAAATAAAAAGTCATAGATCTCTAATGTCTTTTTTGTCCTAAAATTGAAGACTAACTTGATTAGCCTAGGGCAACTTCAATTTTTATCAAGAATGATGTTTTTCGGGTTCAAGATGAAAAATTGGTCTGAAGTTTTCTAAACAGAAGTGGCATCTCTAAAACTTTTTGGCCCGAAGCAGTGAATTGGAGCGTCCATATTATGATAAATAGAAGTTCTATTTTTTGGTTCAAAATATGAATCTTGAGGAGGCATGGAGTGGAAAGAAACCAGTTGTCAATCACTTCAAAATCTTTGAGTGTGTTGCCTATGCTCATATTCTAGATCAGATAAGAACAAAACTTGAAGACAAAGAAGTGAAATGCATTTTTTTGGTGTTAGCAATCAGTCAAAGGCTTACAACTCTATAACCCTAACACTAAGAAGATTGTAATTAGTCGTAATGTGATCTTTGATGAGCATAATTTCAGGTCAGATATTGAGACAGTGGTTGAACATGAAGATATACATGTTGGTTTTGATGAAATACATGAAAGTGAACAACATTCGAAATAACCAGCAAAACCAACATGTATATCTTCATGTTCAACACACGGGAGCTGGTTGATCTTCCACAAGGGCACAAAAATATTGGAGTGAAGCAGGTTTACATAATGAAATTGAACGAAGATGGAGAAGTTGACAAGTATAAAGTAAGGTTAGTTGCTAAAGACTACAAGCAAGAGTTTGAGGTGGATTATACTGAAGTGTTTGCTTCGATTGCAAGACATGAAACCATCAAAATAATGGTTGCTTTAGCTGCATAAAAATCATGGCATATCTTCCAATTGGGTGTAAAATCAACGTTCTTACATGGTGATCTCCAAGAGCAGATGTTTATTGATTAACATCCTAGATACATGAAGTCTGGATGTGAGGACAAAGTTTATAGACTTAAGAAGGCTTTGTATGGATTAAAACAAGCGCCACACGCTTGGTATAGCTGAATTGAAGTTTACTTCCAGAAGGAAGGATTTGACAAATGTCCTTTTGAGCACACTTTTTGTGAAAACTGAGGAAGGAAGAAAATTGGTGATTCTGTGCTTGTATGTGGATGATTTGGTATATACAGGAAACAATTTAACATGTTTGATAGGTTCAAGTAATCTATAATGTTGGAATTTGATGTCTGATTTAGGGAAGATGCATTACTTTCTTGGCATAGAAGTAGTGCAATCATAAGCTGGCATTTTTATCTCACAAAAGAAGTATGTGCAAGAAATTTTGAATAGATTTCAGATGTTAAATTGCAATCGGGCTGCTACACCTAATGAAGTAGGCTTGAAGCTTGTTCGAAAGTCGGATGAGATGAAGGTTGACAACCACCTTTATAAGCAAATTGTGGAGAGTCTGATGTATTTAACAAGAACAAGACCTGATATCATGCATGCTGTAAGTTTGATCAGTAGGTATATGAAAAATCCTAAGAAAAGTTATCTCTTGGCTACAAGGAGAATTCTTAGGTACTTGCGAGATATTACTAGTTTTGGAATTTTCTATCAGAAGGGAGAAAAATCAAATTTGATTAGCTATACAGATAACGATTATGCCGGATATATTGATGATAGAAAAAATACTTCTGACTATGTCTTTATGCTAGGTTCTGGAGCCATTTAATGGTCATTAAAGAAATAAGAGATAATCACTCTATCAACCACCGAAGCAGAATATGCTGTTGCAATAGCATGTGCTTGTCAAGCAATCTAACTTAGAAGAATTCTTGAAGGGCTGAATTTTGTGCAAGAAAGGAATGTTGATGCTACTGCAATTTACCGCGACAACAATTCATCTATCAAACTGTCCAAACATCCTATTTTACACGGAAGAAACAAGCAAATAGACGTGAAATTTCATTTTATTCAGAATCTCGTCAAGGATGGAGTAATTGAACCTCACTACTGCAGAAATGAAGACCAAATTGCTAATATAATGACAAAGCCATTGAGGGTGGCTGCATTTCACAAGCTCACGACATTGTTGGGTGTGATAACCTAAATATTTGAAAACTTTCAGTTTAAGAGAGAATATTAGAAATATTAATTTATTATATTAATTATGTTTGTAACTGATTTTTTTTAAGATTGTCCTAGTCTTAAGAATATTTAATTTAGTCAGTAGTGGGTGCTGTGCTGAATTTTACGAATTCCTTGTTAGTGATTCTCAGCTCTATTAAACATTTGCAATCGTGTTATTTTAACCGATCATTCAATAAAAACAACCTTTGTCATTGTTGTTTGACACACAAGAGTTGCCATGTAGTAGTAATGTTATCTATAACAGTAACATAAATGTGCTAACTTTAAAACACATTTTAGTAGGGAACTATGTAAACCAACATCTATCTGTAGATACCTGATATAATGGAGAACAATTTACATATTTAACAACCTTCACAAATAAAGGTTTGGATTTGGACGCATATACACCTTTCACTTATGTTTCAGATTTAACACTTTATTATTGTTTTAATAAAGACTCATGCTTGATTTATACAATGCACTTGAGCTGATTCAAGGCTTGTTGTGTTGGGTGTAGATATAATCCAAGTGAGCCTCTGCAATCATCCTTCTGCTAAAGCATTCTTCATCCTTTTCATAACACTCCTCTGATCCCATCAACTACACAAATTTCAATCCAATTACAAGACAGAAAAAAAATGAAAATTTAAAAGCATTATGTATATTCTTACATGTTCCATATCATCTTTCATTTCGATGGATGATTTACCAATGACCTTCAATTCCTTTTCACCTGTATATACATATCAAGTTGTTCCAACCTCAAAAATTAGTTAACAGAGGGAAATGAAGTAAGCCAAAGAATACATAAAAAGTAGTATAATACAACAACGTAGTTACCATGTCTCGAACCATTTGGTGGTACAAGAAAACGAGCAGAAGCAAAGAAAGAAGAAAGAATGAGAACAAAGAAAAACAAGAGAATTTGATGCTTCATAATGTGACTAAGAAGGGTTGCATAAAGCTGCTTAAAGGAGGAACTTGAGTTTGTGTCACGTGGAGACTCCAAAAAGTCCACAACTTAGAAGCAACTTCACTGGGACCTACCTGTTTACGATAGCTAGAGTTTTCTACATTCTTCATGTGATAAGAGCATCTCATCATTTTAAATGTACAGTAAAGAAACCACTATGAAGAAACAAGAGAAAGGGATTGTCATTTTCATGGTGGTCCCAAATGGAGCAAGAAAACAAAACGAATTAAAGTCAACATTAAAAAGATGGGTGTGTTTGATTACTAGGTGTACCCTACTCTCTGATTTCTTCATGTAGTCAACGGAAAAATCCTATAGTACTGAGTGCCATAGTTAAATGTTTTGAAATAATTTGGCATCACTTGTAATTCATTTTTTATTTTGAAAACATAACATTTTGTGTGAGGGAAAAAGACGAGATATGCATGTAGTGGATGCTCAGAGAGAGCACTCATATTCCATTTTTGGATTGTTGACAGCTATTTCATACCGATTTTAATTCAACTTTATTTATTTATACGGCTCATTTTTAATATTTTCTTTCTTTTAAATTAAATGTTGTTTAAAGTTTTTTTTTCCGTGTGAAGAAAATTAACGTTAATGAAATGAAATCTATTTTTAAGGCAAATGTGAGTCAGTAACGACTTTAACTTCTCTTTATCTAAAACACGTTATGTCCCACGTTTTTTTCTCCATTGGCGAAGAAGACTTAAGGGCGAGGCGATACTTTCCTTCGGACAACCTTATGTCGTCACCTTCTCTTAGGGACGGTTCCAGGGCATCTACCTAAACAAGACCGATTATAAATATAACACTATAATATATTTTTACTGGGCCCCAAGAAGAGGTAACTTACATAAAGGCGAGGAAGGTCAACACAGGGCGAGAGACAAGGTACCCAACGAAGCCACCGACCCTCCAAAATAGGCCATGAAGTTGTCTGAATTTTAGTAACAATCTGCCATGTTGGGATTAGTCCACTCTAACTCTTTCTCACTTGCCTAGCAGACGTGGAGATGATAGGTTCCATTACAACTGATTAGAAGAATCATAGGAGGAATAACTCATTCTTTCCCATGATCCAGTAGTGGAGCAAATTGAGGAGAAACAACTCATAACGTATACAAAATGTCCAGAAAATACATAGTTTCTCATTGAACTTGCTCTCCCCATAGCCAAAAACACCATCAAATAGGATTTCTCAGCATTGGAGCTAGCCCTAAACTAAAGAAAATCACTAAGATCTATGACTACCCCTACAAGCATAGAGCTGCCATGCATTATATACTTTTTGACAACTGTGAAGCACATTAAAACTAACCCGGTCTCAAGTTCAATCTATATGATGTTGTTGCTGATGCGAGGATGAGAAGGTCAGTATTTTAAGTTGAGATTTTGGAAAAACACAAGTTAAATTTGTCGCCTATGGGGCATTACGGCTGTCGCCAATGCTTTCTACCTCATTTCACTTATTTGTTAGTTTCTACCGTCGTCAAAGCCACACTTTAGACTCAGGTAAAGGTATTTTCTTCATCTTTTTACATTTATATTTTTAAAATGTTACGAGAATAAAAAATGAAAAGTTTTTTTACTAGTTTCAACCTTGACAAGAACATTATCTACACTACTGTGTGTGCTTTTCATTGAAAGTAATGTTGAATGTATTTCAAGTAATTCAAGTGTTGTAACCGGTTAACACGAGGACGTAACCGGTTACAGCAAGGCAAACAACACTTCCAAGTAGCAAAAAAATGAAGTTTTCTAAGGCGTAACAAGTTAACTTGTGTTTCATACCCCACATTTGTCACACCCCTTCACTCAATCTAATGACTTACGCATCTCATATTCCTCATATACATACCCTGCATTAGGTCATGCATTTAACATACCATTCATCGCATTTTGCATAGCTCAATCATTAGGTCAAAGTTCGATAATAATGGATTTAATCGGTTCAAGTGGATTTTTAAGGAGGATATTATTTGGTAATTATTCAGGTTTATTTCCCATATTATTGGTGGTGCAGATCATCTATTTATTTGAGATTTACGGTTAGTTAGGAAATTTGATTGATGATCACTCAATTCAGAAGTTTGCTTGAATTCAAAGAAAATGACATAGTTGGAATAAAAAGAGGATTTCATTCATTTACTGGAAATTCTTGGTACAATTCATATTTCTTGAGATACAACTGAAAAGAATATATTACAACGAAAGAGGGTAAAAAATTACATCTTCTGGGTACAATTGACTTTTTGGTCAACAGTTGACTTTTGGTTAGCTGTTGACCATCAACTCGGTTATGATTCCCAAATTTTCCTAGACCTATTCTACAAGAATTTGATCAAGGGATTCATCATCATTAATCACAAATAGTTTGTGTCATAATTATGTGAAGTGCTAATTTTCGACAAAATTCACTAGTTTTTCAACACTTTCCAACATTGATTCATATCCAAAAAAAAGAAAACCCAGAATTTGATCCATGAGTTTACACAGTTCAAAGTGTTTATTTTCAACATAAAATCAGTTCTTTAAGGCACTTAAAATCATGGGATGGTTCACTAAAAATTCAAGCTAAAAGTGGTAGAAAAATCAAGGCAAAAACATTCAAATTCAAGTTAATTACTAGTGATCATTTACCTTACATCCTAACTTGGTACTTATGCTAAACTCCAACACCATTGGTCACTAACTACCTATTTCTCCATAATCCATCCATTTACCTAATTACCCCTAACTTCTCTAACTACCAAGCTAACACAAAACTCCCAAACAAAATCTCAACTTCCATTTTTTCATTCAATCTTAACCCTTCTTAACAATTAATCCTAAGGTTGAAATTGGTGATCCTCAACTAATGGTTAAATTAATTTCTAACCATTGATAAAACCATTAATTGGATCACAATCTAAGAGTGATTATTTATCTACCAAGTTTATATAAACATGTTATTTCTCACATTTTTGGGGCTAGCTAACATAACTATCCTAACTTAGAAAATTCAATTAAATCATCATTTTTCCACCTTTTTTCTTCTACTCAATTCCTCTCTCATTTCATCTTCTCCCTCAACCTCACCAAACTTCACCTTTATCACCATTTAAAACGTCACATTGAAGTTCTAAAATGGTGGAACTTAGCCACAATCCAAATTCAACAAATCATTCATCAACAATCATCATATAAAGTTTATCAAGTTTCATCAATAATCATCACCTAAGGTTTATCAAGTTTCATCAATAATCATCATCCAAAGTTCATCAATTCAAGGTTATTCATCATTATTCTATATTCAAGATTCATATTCTATGTTCATCTATCATAAAAAATAATCATTAAGTCTTGGAAGATAATTGAGGTTTATTCTTGATGTTTTCCGCATTACACTTCGACTTAACTCTTGAAGTTTTCCGCATTACACTTCGACACGTCGAATTTCAACATGAACCAGAGCAAACCTTCGCTCCGTTGGTAATCCTTTATCTCTTTCATATTCTTGTCATGAATTATTTGATGCTTGATAATTGATTTAACTTAAACTACTATTTTGAAATTGCTTATTGGATAATCACTTATTTTTGCATAAAACACATAATCTTGAAAATAGTAATTTCTTAATTTGCAACCGTTAATTATGTGTTGATATATCATTAGAATCAGTATTTTGTCACAAATTCTGAATATATGATTTTCTTTTTACGAGTCATTGTAACGTATGTGAATTGGTCGATTCTTCAAACACTTTATTTTTCACCTTTGTACTCGATTCTTCAAATTTCGTGACTCATTTGCAAAAACATATCGCATATTTGGATTCCTCACGAAAAATCGCGTCCGATAATATATAACTTTCATATTTAATTTTTGATTTATTAATTTTTAATAAATCAAAATTCATGATTGTGTGCAAAATAAGTTAATGAACAAATGATCAAAACATTCAGAATCTACAATTAGCTGACACATGTCCAGCGAATAAGACAAAATAAGTATAAGACAAAATCAAATGATCCCATGTGCTGCATGTGTAGCGCGCACCATGATCATAACCATCAAATCCGTTAGCAATATGATCGGACGGTCCACATACTACCCTGTGTTGACTCACACATGTTGACTATTGACTATGCTGGTCTTTTTGTTGACTAGGCCATTGGGCCATTTTTGGCGCCCAGATTGAGTTGTTTTTACTGCCAGCACCCTTTATGGACCATAAACCCCCATTCAGTTTAATTATTATTATTATTATTATTATTATTATTATTATTATTATTATTATTATTATTATTATTATTATTATTATTATTATTATTATTGATTATTACTTCTTTTAATTATTTTTTAAACATTTTTACAAGCATTAAAATGAACATTTCAATATATGATGGGATCAATTTTGGTAGAAATTAATTTCTAATTCCATGTCATTTCTTTTTAATTTCATCTCATGTTTGCTTAGGAATTAAAATTGCCACGATTATTTTCAATTTCATGTCTTGTTATTTTTTTCTTCATATGCTTGATATATAATTTTTGGCTTTTTTATTATGATTGCATATTGATATTGGTTTGCACCCTTTAATTCATCAATTGTCATTATTTTTCTTTTTGAATCCGTTAATCTTGGTTGTATGGTTTGTATGCTTGTATGTTTTTATTTATTTATTTTAATTCTTGCATGGTTTATGATCCATGCCCCAATTGTGGGTAATATGTCTCCCATTCCCATGAACATGTAATAACTTAGATTTTTCTTTTCTTTGTTGCTTACTTCACACGTTAATAAATAAGATAAAATAAAAATGATAAAAAGGAATATTTTCAAGAGAATAAAACACACTTGATCCAATATCAAGTAATTTTTAAAATCAAATGAAACCAAAAGCAACGTGAGTGCTTGATCCAACATCAAGTATCTCAATCTATTATATTTCCATCTATGTTATCTCTATTCTATCTTC